ACCCAACGGAACAGACTAGAGACGTAAACCAGTGGGGTTCACTGAATGACAGAGTTGGGATCGGAAGATCAAACAATTCGAAGAGAACATGTTGGGTTATGAAGGAAGCATCGAAATTGCCAAGAACGCATCTTTGAATGTCCACAAATACACGTGTCGCGTTCATCAGTTCATTACCAAGAAAAATAATTTGCGCGGAAAACAAAATGCAGTTGGCTTCAATTCAGAAGTGAGAGATTCACGCGCAATGAGGACCAAGTTACTCGACTTTTTTACGGAGCTCCTCCTCGGCGATTTCATCGATATCATTTGCCTCAACCTCGTGCTTGATCCCGATTAACTTTAGCCGTATGGCATCTTTGGATGCAGCGTAAATAAGCTTTGTTTTGATACTAAGTGGTGACGGATTCCTACCAAAGGGGTCAGTGTGTGTCACTTGTACGTACCACGAGATGAAAATCAATGTAGGAAGTTTGCCTGGGACTTCATAATCGTAAACAGCATAACGACCCTCCCCTTCATCCATGGCAGTAATGAGGTCCTGATAAAAATCCTCATATGTAGCATCTATCCAGCATTGGTGTTCAAATATTCAACTTACTTCTATCGGCCTTCCGCAGTACCTGGATCTCTTCATTATTCCGAATGTGGAACAAAATATAACGGTGGTTTTTGCGGAGCTTCAGCTCGTTGTAGGCATCGATACAGGACTGGTGACACTTAACACCGGAAGCCTGATAAAGAATGATGAATTAGCCATAGTAACAAGAAATAGAATGCATAAAACGTCATAAAACATGGGAAGAGCTAACCATAACGATAGCTGGGATTTGTATGCAAAGCAGGCGCGTACTATGAAAGGACAGTCTACTGCCTCAATCAAACGCCAGTCAGTACGCACCACATGTATCTGACATCCTTAAACTCAGGTTTTATCTAGACGAAGACATCCCTAAAACGAAAGTTTGCACTTTTCGGACACTTGTTTCACTTCATTTTTTGTTTAAGTAAGCGCGGTACGTTCGAAATCGGTTTCGTTTTTCCCTCGTGCAAATTCGTGAAAATTTTTTTTCGTTGTTCAACCTATTCACAGAGTACACACGAGTAATTGTTGAATTTTATTACTCTAACAAAACCTCTGAGTGATAACCCTTTATATTTTGCGCACACCTATTTTACATCTAGTCCGAAACGACGTCAATTCATACCGATCGCCCTCCGCAGCCATTGGTAGACCACAATAGATGTGAGCGGAATGGCTGCCCGTCGAACGTCAAACGCGGTATGCAATGCCACGCCTGCAAGGCCTGGTGGCATTTCAAATGCACGGGTTTACAGGACGACCAAATAAGCCGACTAGCCAACTCTCCTGACCCGTTTGTCTGTGCCAGCTGCCTCTATGTCAAGGGTGCAATGCATACCGCAGCGAAGAGAAGAGTCCCCCGAAACGGTACCCAATCCCCAGTGCAGATGCCGAAAGACCACTGCCAGTGTTCCGCTTTAATCGGGATACTCGACGCGAAAATAGAGCGTCTTTCGAAGGCACTGGAGGACTCAGGCGCTAAGAATGCAGCGACCTGGGCGAAAGTCGACAAGGAACTTTCCTCGCTGAACCAATACCTCGCGATGTCCATACCGGGTCCCATGGCTGAGAAGAAAGTCATACAACTTTCTGACGCAGCTATAAAAACCGCCACAGCGTCTCTAGTGGACAGACACCTAATGGAAATCAGACTAATAATCTGGGGGTCATTCTCCGGAAAAATCACGCCAGCAAAGCTGGCACAGTCGATCCTCAGCAAGCCTGATCAATCGCTCCACGCAGAATGGCTACGCC